GGAAGGAGTCTGTTCCAGACTCCAGTTGTCTTTTGCCGAAGCTCAGACTCTGGCACAGGATCGGGAACGTCGGAAGCACTGTCTGAAGTGTCTGCCTCCGCGACCCGAAAGGAGAAGCATGGATGGAAGAAGAAGATGAAGGTTGCCCTGAAAATGTAACATTTTTTGTACGGCTGCAGATCAATCATAATTTTAAGTGGCATTCTCTTGGAAGCTTTGTAGTTACGATAGTTACGGTAAATCAGTGTCAGTCAGAAGAGAATCGCAGATAGGGAATGTTATATTGTCGCTGCTGTCTCGTCGTTATCGAGGCTAACAGAGCCTGAGCACATTTGTCCAGATTTGGGATGTCTGACAGTTGAAAATAGTGTTAGTCTAAGGGTATAGATGAAATATTTTACCCGAACCACTTTCACAGAAAACGCTGCTTGAACCGTAGGTTCATCGCCCGGCAGTACAAACGGAACGACGGAAAAATTTTCAGAACTAGGGTTAAAACTTGGATATATAATTTGATTTCATATGATCTGATGGTGTTCAGCCAGGAATATAAACTTATCTTCGAATTTTTGCAAAAATGGTATTTTTTGAGGTTCGGCTGGTTCGTTGCCTTGAAATTGCCCACCTAGGTTTCTTTCGCATCAGCGCTCTCACTAAAATACCATGTTCTTAATCTTCGATACGAAACAAAAGTAGAATTGAAATTTTTAACGCGATCTTTTCTGACGAAACCAGTATAATTTGGTAATCAGTAAATAGTTGCTGATGTTATGAATCGTATTGACTATATTAGTCGACAGGAAGACGCGTTCATGAACCAGGCACAGATCCGGAAGAGTTTCAGAAGCCGTCAGTAAAATTATAACAAACTTTTAAGAATTCGTATATTGATTTACTATAAGTCCATTGTGTTAGGCCGGAATACAGTGGGTTGGTGAAAATCAGTACATCGTTTTGACTAAGGATTTCAAAAACTCTCATAAGGGCCTTGTAAAGAATGACGTCATCATGCAGTTAGAGTTTTATTCGTAAACGATGCCGTGAGCACCGTGAACTGCGAGCTGTCGAGACGAGACAAAAATGATGAATGCTAAATGTTACATGTTCATGATGCATAGCATGGTTTATTCTTGGCGGTGTTAAGTTCTGTTTATTAATTTCATACCTTATGTAACTGACTTGTCTGTACGTTGCAGTGGAAGTGCTTAGATGAAGTTTTTTTATGAGTTGTATGAATGAACTGGCATCTGTCACCATCGAACGAGAAAGTAAAAAATTTTTGTTACCGAGGGAGCAACTAATATATTGTTTTCTGTTTTTTCGGTACTCTAGTTTAATAGCTGAGGTTCGCGAAGTTAACGAAGTTAACCTTGATGATTTTCTGTCTCCACTATTAAGCGATTTTGGCGTCAAGTGTAAATATGAGAATTTTGTTGGTTTATGGTTGAAAATCTCCTTGACATTTAGAAGTTTTTGCACCTATGCAAAGTTTCTAAAAAGATTTACAATGGCGTAAATTAATTATTTCTCTCAAAAGAGAAAAATGAACGTTATCAAACTTAGCATGGCAGAAGAATTATCACAGTCAAAATAGCCCAGTATATATGAGAACTGCATAGTCACCTGAGTCTAAATGACATTTATCGATGTCAGAATGTTTCCAAATGACATGGGACGAAAAGAAATACACAACAGAGGGAAGAAAGTCAAAATCGCAGCGAAAACACAGACCAAACTTGAAACACTTATTACTGTCACAACATGTAAAATCACCGTCATTGACTCTGTGACTACTCGCCAAACTTATGTCTTATAAGTCTGCGTATTGCTCATCCGTGCAAGCACTTATGTAATGAAGCAAAATTGGAGCCAGCAGTCGTTACATTACCATGGAAAGTATGCATACAACTGTGCATTACTCCTGAGTATACAAAGACGCGGAAAGCGTACTTTAGCCGCTTCTAAGCAGATCGAAGTTTCTCGGCCATGGTCGATGATTTTTGGCCATCGGTGAGCATCGGGATGAAAATCGACTTGAACATGGACAGTTTAGTGTTCTGACTCAGCTCTCCCTAGTCACAATAGTGGTCGCAGACAGCAAAACACCGGTGACCATTGCAGTTCGCAGGTCGATCTCCTCCTCTTATCGGTAAAGGCGACTCCAAGGTACTCGTCATGCTCCCACTGCCTCTCCGTTAATCTGAAGAGAGCAACGGGCAGGAGAACGAGAAAGCACTAGGCTTTTCGTTTTAGACGCCGGTCACGTCGCACTCGGCTGCGAACCTTCCTAGGGAGCACTGTAGATCACTTTCACAAGGTTGTTTTCAAACAGCAGCCTTCTCGTCTTCACGTCTCCTACACCGATACACTCATTGCCTTGGTTGCGCCTGACTTCCATCAATGTATAACAAACAGGAGAGGGGACAGGACGCAGCCTTAGCAACTGGCCATTTATCCTGTATTCTCGCAGGCATGACCACAGACTGTTGCGTGGGATCCGGTCTTAGGCTTCTTCTAGATCCACAGAATTACATATACACCGGACGGGCGTACTCCTACGATTTCTGAACAATCTGGCGCAGGGCAAATATATGGTCAGAGGTGCTTCGGCTTGACCTCAAACCACCCTAATCTTCCTGTGT